GACCTAATAGGGCTCAATCCTGGCGCGGTGAGCCAGTACACGCCCACCGATCATCTTACCCCTTGCCGTAGTTCAATACGCGGCGAGTGATTAGATAGCAGAGAGAGCGTGATGTTGAAGAGGGCACAGCGATGAGAGTCGCATCAATGCTCGAATCAACGGGCAAGGAAGGGGTCCCATTTCTCGGGTTCTGGGCCGTTTCTCATGGTTCTTCCTTCTTTCGTGTACCACTCACCATCCCTAGTTAATTTGAAATGGGTTGCTTTTTCATCGTGAATTCGTCCTTTAAGCAAAATTGCAAACTACCGTAACCCTGATCAATGTTACAGTTTCCCTCACTGTTAAGGTATTATTGCGCCTGAAAGCTTTACTGGAATGCTATTCAATAAGTGATCCTACACCCCCAATTATTGTACTCGTCCACTTAAGGTCTATGGGAGCCCAATCCGGACAATCCCCACAACAGAGACCATGCCAACAAATTTTATTACCATCCAAGATCTGTGAATATCGATTGGTTAAGTGGACAGGTTAGTCAGCCACCTATTCTGCCTTACAGTTGTTTCATGTGGTGCTTTTACAGCTTGCATGGGGTGCTCATTGGGCCGTGCCCGCGGCCGCCGTCGGAGGAACCGATGGCTTCAGCACCGTTCACTTCCCAACAATCGGAACATTCGCCAACATCCCTGATGACTACGACTAGTTTATTTATTTACTTATTTATTTAGCTATTGTAATTGAACACAAAAATATTATAATCATCTGAGCGTGAAGCTCATCCGTCTTTCATATTTATTCGCTAGGGTTTAATTTAATAAAATTGATCAAATACGATATTCTCAAAATTGTCTCATCGTCAGTAGCTTTTCAACATCTCATTTTAGTCCAAGAACGCGCCGCTTAAACGCGACGCATGTCTGTTTCATTCAATGCCCAAAATACACCATAGTTACCGTAACCATTCATTTATTCCTCGGTTCATTTCAAAAAAAGGCCTTGAGTGTCACGGGACACTATTGAAAATGTCTTAATTATCACCAGATAGGAATGATAAGGAAAGTCTGATGACAAAGCGAATAGCCACCTGCGAAAAGGAGCGCAAGAGGGGGCAGGGTTCAGAGATGGTTCTGAATGGATGGGACTGGAACCCGTCAGCAAGGCAAGAGGGTAACGAAAGCAAAGATGGGAGTTCAAGGGAATGATGAAGGAAGGGGGAGAGAAACGTCATTAGGCAGATTCCACGATGGGCAGGCCGCCCGTTAAAAATCAAGGTGGAGGTGATCAGTGGCGCGGGGATGAAGAAAAAATATGAGAGACGCTCAGTATACAGAGGACGGGACCACTCTCTGCCCGTTGATTTCCGCATTAGCGACTCTCGCTGGTGCTGCCCTCTTCAGCGATGACTGTCTCTGCTGAAAAGCTGGGAGACAGACGGGTAAGGAGTTACCTATTGGCGGGTATGCAGGGGGCCCGAGCGGCGCTGGGAGATACCCTTCGCTGCAAAACCCGTACCAACCCGCCCCTTGGAGGGGGCCTGCCTTTCGGCTAGTTATCATCTCCTTTTTCGACCTTCGACCTTATCTTAGAACCAGTTTAGCGTCGCACGCAACCACGCGCATCACATGGTGAGCTCGAAAATGAACAACCCACAGAATATCGGGTCACCTGGCTGAGAACTGGCTGAGAAACCAACAATAAGATCCTTCAAAGTGAATACAAGAGAGAAATATGTAAAGTGCTAGGTGTCAATCATCGCTTTTGGGATGCGCCAGGCACTCCAATTCTACTTGAAATTTGAGGCCAATCGAAATGCGAATCGAGGTTCTCACCTTCACGTGACAAGCCTTTTTTGAATAAACGAAACTGAATAGCTTGATAGGGGCCGATCTGCAGAATAAAAGGGTGATAGCGACCCTTCTCCTTTCAGATATTAACATATTCCGTGAGAAGAGGTTATCGTTCCCACCATTTCTTTTAGCATTCTTGCTTCAAACCTTTTTTCGTGACACATTTATGAGATCAGATCAATATATTTCAACAGTTCAATAACGATAAAATTGAGCAATTTTTTAAGTGAGAATAAGCGGTAAATTTCTTTTGTTGATAGACGACTGAATTTTCTCCCGTAGCTCCTCCTGAAGTTCGTTACATGCACGCTTTCCCACGGCCACATCAACCACTTGCCAAGTGAGTCGATAGATCCTGTTGGGGAGGTAGGGATTGGGACACATCGACCGTAAATTCTTCCACTTCCCTGATCTCGACCACGGCAGAACCCGTCAATTGGCGGAGAAGCTCAAAAGACCAGCCGTTCTCCTTCATCGATATTTCCATCGCTGAACAGGAACGAGACATCATGATGGAAATATGACCTGAGAATATGAAATTGACCTTTGCTTCGGTCAAAGGATGAAATTTCACTATCCAGAGACCTCCCCCCCCCCCCACTGGGCAGACCTTACTCCTGACAACTCCAGCCGTTAAGCCCCTTTGCCTGTTACTTGATCATTCTCGCCTGATGATCCGGATACTCCCAGACGGAACAAGTATACACCCTCCTTCGCACGCATCCTGGACGCAAGAAGTTATCGAGATACATCAAAAAAGACCACACGCCTCCTCAGCTCCAGCCTAGAACACACTGCCACGACCAGCTGTCCTTCTCATGCACCGGAACAGATGAGCTCCACAGAGATCCGCCATTGTACTGAATCCCAGCCTGACCTTGTGCCAGTACGAGGTGAAACTCGCTATCATGTGTCATGATACTGCTCACACTTCGGAATATTCCACTTGGCCCAACGATACTCCGAACCCAACTCTTACCTCAAGAATTCGCCTCATTCTCACCCCGGCATCCCCCAATTCCATCGACAATCCCCGTAGCTCGGCATTTCCTTCGCCCCCACCCCCCCTTCTCCCGCTGCCACGGCCCCGCGCTGCGGTCCTATACCACATAACCAACTGGAAGGTTTGTCATCACTTCCATAGCGCCCAGTGCTAACTGTTCCCGATCCCAATCGCCCATACCACGAGTCAGCACAAACTCAAGTTATTCATGCCACAGATCAGCACCGGTCCGACACTGAGAGTCGAATTGCGGGAGCACTCTCCTCGCCCATCGCCATCCACCTACAGCTACGAGAGCAAACGACTCAGACATTTACATCGCCCCAGGATCAAACGAGAGCGAGCTTCTTTTCGACCATTGCTGAAAAAATGAGCCAATACGAAAACGGGTATATCATTTAAAATTGTGGAATAAGCAAGTTCCAAGCCAGCTTTAGAGGAAATGAAGAAAAAATCACTATTTAGTGAGCAGGCAGCACTCTGACCAAAGCCGTTGTCAACACCTTGAAGAACATTAATAATGTGTGCTTTGCTCCACCGCAAGGGTATTTAATTAGGTGACAGAACTTTGAGTCTAATGTCCTGACATCTTAGACGAAAATCATACTCCCTCCAATGGATTGATCCAAAAAGTTGCAAACTATTAACGAACCTCAAGAGTGACGTCTTCTCAGTACTATATCGCTACGTGACCGGCATTCTCAACGCAAAAGACTCCTCCATCAAATTCAGCCGCTAAACCCAATCAAAGTATACTGATCAACCCGAACCACCCTTGGCAAGAAAAAAAGTAATAATAGTAACTCATAGACGGATGCTCTGAGGTTTCTCAGAGTTGATGAACAAAAGGATACTCCCATAGGGTGATTACTCATATAATGCGTCCCAAATTGGAATCCATTCTTCCCTCCTCACCCCTCCCCCTTCCCCTTCTCCTTCACTCAAAAATAAATAACTATGGATTCCAAGAGTTCGAACTGGGCACAGTTCTACCTTTCAGCGCCGACAAATCTTCAAACCAGATAGCTCTTTCGCGCTAAGGCCGATGTCAGACTTTGCGAATCGCGCGATTCGCTACTAGCGATTCGCGCGATTCGCTAGCGTCCGCGGTCGCGTTGCGGTACCCAGCCAATTGAGTGATTCACTGGCCGCGACGCGACCGCAGACGCTAGCGAATCGCGCGATCTTCCACACCAAAGTCATAGCACATCGTGCCTATTAATAATTCACCGAGTCTTCCACATAAGAACCCCCCCACCTACAAATAAAAGCATACGAATTCGTCATGCACATATATTAATTGAGAAAGCACCCGACAAACAGACACTCAAACCTCACCACCCCCCGTTTGCTCCCGACCGAGAGTCTTTTTTGGATGAACGATTTGTTAGTAGTCCTGACATTTTAGACGGCGTCCTTCAATGGTCTGATCCAAAGAAGTGCTCACTATCACGACCTGGATGCCGTTTTCGGGTCTTTGCGCTGTGGATCTGCGGCATCAGAAAGAACAATCTCATCAGAAATTTCAGACAGCTGAAAAGTCTTTTTCACCTGAAACCCTCTACGGGTCAAAGAAGCAAATATATAGGTAATCACAACGAGCTCGTTCTCAAGTAATTTGACAAATATCCATGATGGGATTACTCAAATATGCGTCCCAAATTGGAATCCTATTCTTCCCTCCTCACCCCTCCCCCTTCCCTTCCCCTTCACTCAAAAATAAATACTATATGGATTTCAAGAGTTCGAACTGGGCACAGTTCTACCTTTCAGTGCCGACATCTTCGAACCAGATAGCTCTTCGATCTAAGGCCGATGTCAGACTTTGCGAATCGCGCGATTCGCTACTAGCGATAGCGTCCGGTCGCGTTGCGGTACCAGCCAATTGAGTGATTCACTGGCGCGACGCGACCGCAGACGCTAGCGAATCGCGCGATTCGCAAAGTCTGACATCGGCCTATATTGATGAGAGTTTTTCATGAACCCATAAAAGCGTACGCTTCTGTGCAACATCAAAACTAGCATGCAAATTACTACGCACGTCCATCCCAAGTCCATATAGCATTTATCCCCGCTACCGCTGTGTTGTACTTGACTCACATCAGGCAGCACATGAGTGCCGAGAAAAAACAATAGCGTGCTATTTTTGATGCTCTTGAAGCTATCTGATGCCATGAGTGTTTAAATGAAAGAGGGCCGTGAAGGTCCTCGTCAAACTCCTTGTACAATTTTCTAATTCAGCGACGATAATAATTTCTATGGACAAATTTCCGATAAAGACACAAATTATGATCAGACTCCAGTTTTTACCACCGAATTACCTACTGGTCCTAACGATAAGAGAGCTGCATAAAACTCGGAAATTGCAAAAAAAAATGGCGAAAGGCCGACCTTGCAAAAATCAGATTTCCGTTCGATGGATCCATCCCTACGCTCTATCATGACGTCATCAACTATGGTCACTTGGTAGAAATTCTTCTGAAGAACATTCTCCTTTAGCCTTGCTTCACCATCAGGTTTCATGTAGTGACGAGATACGTATTTGTGATAAACCTCGGGAAAAAGAACTGACACAATTTATTATAAAATATTTATTGATGAAAAGAAAAATCGTATCAAACAAGCGACCATAGAAATTGGAAGCGTAATTGAAAGAAGAAATATCACTACAAGAAATTAAAACACACACATGCTCACATTGCACTTCGACTGAACAACCGTTTGTTAATCAGGACGGTGGCGAAAAACTTGTTGATGACTGAGCGAGAAATTGGAAAATAGTGGACCAATCAGGGATGAGGTAACGCCTATATCTGAAGCGACTTTTGATTGGTCCATTTTTTCCAGAAATCTTTTAGTAGTCGTCGACAAATTTCGCGACACCATCTCAGCAACAAAAATAAACAGTGCGACGGGAACAGTCGTTGCTTACTTTTAAGGCGGTTTTATGCAAAATAGACCAGCTATTCACTTGACGACGACGACGAAAAGTTGAGGCGTGGCGAGCAGGAGATAGGTCGAATCTCAAAGCTTTCTAACCGAAGGATTATCATCTGTTGAGTATGAGTGGCACACGAGAGAGAGAGAGGAGAGACCACAAACGGATACAAACGTTACTTTCAAATTACTATACACATAGTTATTTACTCATCATCAAGCATGACTGCGGAATGACTCTGGTAAACGAGAAGAGTGCGTATAGGGAAGGACAAAAAACGAGATGAAATCCTCTTCCATGACTATTCAATTTTAAAACCGTACAGAAGCAGGGTCTATCCAGGCACAGGTTCTCTCAATTCTATTAAATTTTGATATTTGATATGAGCATGAAAACCAGTGGTTGCCGCCGAAAAGGTTCTAACTAACAAAAAGGTTTTGGAAAATAATATTAGGTTCAAATGCATGATCTTTCACTTCAGGATTTACTAGAAAGACATGTTTAAATGCCTCGATTAGGCAGAAGCCGAAAAACGGATTAACGTTATTCACGAAAATCGGAACGATGACCCGGCAGACGTTTGGGAGACTGATTGGACACCCATCCATATACCATTTTTGACTGCCCGGAGACTTACATCGGAAGCATCAGGTGAATTGTTCACTTCAGATCTTTCGGGAACTTCTGTGGGGTACCCACCCTACTCACTAAAAAATTTAGCATAGCATCTAAAATTTGCCGTTTCAACGCGAACATATTGACTGACATAAAGCTAATAAGAGAGTGTACCTGAATAACACCCCTTCTCTGTGGACCAGGTAGACAAAAAATATTTAAAAATTGAAAAGATCAGCGTGACGTCGCCAGCAAGCATGGCGCAAGGATATAGGCTGCTTGCAATAACGACGTCATATCAAGTGACTAATTATCACTATCCACACTTGCACTTCTTCTTTTCTCGTTGTCTGTCGTTCAGTGTCAATTTCACTTCACCACGGCCATCTTTTCCTTGGGGACTTGACAGCTTAGCGTTCAAAACCAATCGAGTGATGCAGGAGAACATCTATAACGAGTTCCATTTGCCGTATGGCTAGGATTTGTTAGGCATAACCTTTATTCAAAGCATATTAAAAGAAGTAAACCATGTGAAAGTTGAGAAGTAGTGAAAAATAAGGTACAGTTCCGATACTTGCGCCCGAACGGCCTGTACCTATTAAGCTTTAATTATTAGTACGAACGTCTACGCGGCAGGGGTTGTCTGCGGACTTGACTTGGTCACTACGGTCCTTCATCAGCTCACTTACGGGATCGCGTTACAATTTACGAAAAAGTTGATCTCAACTTAGTGTGATTCTTCCTTCAGTTGGAATTTCTCTTGCTTTCTTTACGTTCTATTTTTGAACGAAATAACGTATTTCCAGATCGAAGAGCGTCATCCTATGCATGACCGGATCGTTTTCCTCAATAGTCAATCCCCAAGCAAAGGAACGAAACTATTCCTTCTAAGACATTAGTAAGAAGTGACCTCAGGAAAAGAACACCTCACCATAGTATCAAGATCATCAAGAACACTCGGGTCACGAATTTTTAGGGACTGCGTCACGTGGCTCACCAAGTCCGCAATTACGACGTATTATGCATCAGAAATTAGAGATTACGTATCAGTATGATAATCACACAAACCTCTTCAACATTAGTGTTTTCCTTGGCAGGACGTTTCAAAGAATTTTATATGCATGGTGTCAGCGAACTGCCTGGCATCGCTCTCTAACACGATTCTTCGTGCAGGATCCTCATTCTTGTTTCCTACTGAAAATATTATATTCATAATGACTACTATGAAAGATATGAAGGATAAAAAGGATAAAATAAGAACACGTACGATACGTTGGGTATGAAGGCTCGAGTAAGAATTTAAGCACGACTTTCTGCGGGTTCCACTTATATAAGCTTAAAAGAACAAAATTCGATGTTTATACGATTCGGGGTTCGTCTGTATTTGACTTCCGAAGAGGATCACAAAAATTTGATTTTTGCAATAGAATGAATGTGGCTGAGGCAAAGTGCAATACCTTTTCCAGCCATTTCCCAATGCCTCACCAAAATCGATCAGTTGAGCAGTTATGGAGAGAGATATGCGTACTCACTCAGAGGCGAAGAGGCGGACAGCTTCCTAACCTGATGCTAGCCATACCTCAGATCTCCGTGCCAAGCCACAATGAGGTAGACAGAGAATTACTTAATTGTCAAACGCGAAAAATATTCTCTAAACCCCTAAAATATATTTCCCTCTCAAAAATCGATCCTTCAGCCGACATAAGCAAACGAGTATTTGGTGTAAACTACCATTTGTGAGTCAGTGTATATTAATGCGTCTTGTTACACTCCATTATATGGAATACAATGAAACAATGACAGAGCGCCCCTCAACACCACAATACTTACAGCATCAACTTTTCAACCTACTCAGGCTCCTCTAAAATGCAAGACAACCCCTCTCGAAGCAACCTCATAAATACGGTCATTTGGATGAATTTCACCTTGGACTATGCAAAACCCTGAGTTCACTTTCACTCCACTTTTGGTTATTATAACGCAATCGCAGTCATCCTTTACTGATATCTGGCATAACAGACAAGAAATCACTTTTGCGGCTGTTCAAAATGCACGTGATATACCATTCCTCCTATTTTCAGAGGGGAATTGCACTATGCCTCAAAGGACTTAGCGAAACGGAGGCTTAACCCTTCTTTGCTCACCCACCCACCCTCTTTTAAATAAATTCAAAAACATCGTAATCAAGATAATAATAGAAACGCATTAGTTGATTAAACGTTTCTATATTAAACATAGTAATTTCCATTTTATATAGTCAAAATTAAAATAATGCAAATTCCTGTAAGAAACGTCAAATTGAGTAACCGCTTCCAAATCCTCTCATCTATGAACGATCAGAATTTTCGTTCAAAAACCACCTACAATAACTGAATAACAAAAAGGCCACAATAAATTTCCCACCTAACAACCTCATAGCAGAAATACAAAAACGCATACAATAACGAAGAGACCACAATAAATCTCCCACCTAACAACCTTGGGGGCAGAAGTATAAAACACACATAATAAATCAAATTGGGAATTCAACTACTCAAATGACCAAAATCCTGCTCAGGTGAATACGTCATCGGACGGTCAACTTCTATGAATTTGAAAATCTGAAGGAAAAAAGAAAAAGAAAATTTCAAAAAACTATTGACGTACCAAGAATTTTCTGTACACTTTCACAATTCGCATCTATTTCATGAAGCCATCGTTTCACATTGCTAAACGATTCGCCATTGTTAACGTCGTACAACATACCACTCGGCGTTACACGCGATATATCTGAAGCGGAACCGTGAGAGGAAGAGTACACATTGGAGACATATAAACAATCGCTTGTCTAAGTCAGCACACGTGGCCTATACTCCGAATTGTGCTCTCATCACGGACGAAACGCTAAGCGAATTCCGGAAACAAGTAAAGCTAGCTTATTAAGGAAAGCGACGAAGCAAATCACAGGTACGAGAAAAACAGTCACATACAAGTTGCTAAGCGCTTTAGCCTAAGTACATTCTAAAAAAGAAAAATAAGCATACAGGTCGCATCAACCCTTTCGGATGCGCAAGCCTTTCACTTCATTTGAGAGCTAGGTTGGGCCTGGAAGGCGCAACTACGACTTCGCAGACGTCTCAGCCTGCCATGTCGCGGAAACAGTTATGCCGATACCTTCAGTTTTGGTTGAATAAGGACGCAGCAGGCAGCTGAGCGGCACATGAGACGAAACTATTTCAACTGGCAATCTGTCTGTTCGACCCAAAGCTCACTGTCACAACGCTGAACCGCATGACCGCACCCTTTCATAGCTGGTGCGACGTCCAGGGGCGAATCGAGGATATCGTCATGGACCCTATTGGCTATAAAAGTGCTCAACATTATTACCACTGTCATGATAAAGGAGCAAGCATTTGCAAGTTGATCACCTTTTTTTGGGATGCAGACCCATTATATCACTGGACATTAGGTACGTGGGTTACTTGAATGCATTTGGCCTTATTACATGACCTTTATGCGGGCGCCACCGGATGTAATTTTTATCTGCACAACAAATGTGGTACCAGTTAAACGACCATGGAGGGATGGAAGGCATGGCTGGCCCGAACACACGACCCAAGATTCGATCTCCTTGGTAGGCACCGCCACTTGTCAATTTACACTTCCGCTCCACGCTGTTACTGTTCTTGCTAAGAACACAAGAACGGAGCGTGATGTCCGGTAACAATCGAAGTCAATAGACTGTTATTGTGTCATTCTCTTGCCGTTGGCCTGTCAAAAATGTTAACGGCGTAAGTTGACTCCTTTGGGATTCCCCCCCTAATGGAAACCTTTAATGGCTATCTCACCTCTATGGCAGCAACTTTTATAGTGTTTACTGACAATCTTAATCCGGTACTAGTTCATGTACTTGTCATAAGCCGATCCGTCTAATAGATTCAGCTCGCCAGGTGTCACGTGAACTGCTCAAAGCTGTGCCTCTCAGACTGAGTTTTCATGCACGAAACTTCGTACACTGCCTCTAGTGGATATAATGCATCTATGCACGAAGAGGAAAAAAGCATGTTCTCGTGAAAAGTGTCACTCGAGGAATAGCCAAAAGCGCCGCTGGTATGCGCTAACCAGCCTACAAATCCACTTCATTCCGATGAAAGTGTTGATTTTCTTCTGTTCTTCTACATAAATTGTGACCTCACATGGCAAGTTCTTACAGTTTGGGCAGTATGTGATAAATATGTAGTAAAGTCAGAAGAGAGCAGAAAATCGAGCGTTTTATAGTGAACGACCCAGAGAAAATGTCTCGAGTTGGCGCGCGCCGACTGCGAGGCGTGTCTATTGTTACATAACCCTATTCCCTACATACAGGAGGAAATCGAACGTTTCTTCTACCAAGCTATTATTTTTTTAGCAAACGAGGTTTCCAAATAAACTCATCATTAATAACTCTATTTTAGATGAAATATTTATTGAGAGCAACTAGTGAGAATTTTTCTAAATAGCACCAATAACACTAAAACTGACCCCCCCCCCAAATAGCATACTTACACTCAACGCAGTCAGCCTTGTTCACTCCAAAGACCTTCCATTCATCACTAGGATTTTCGTCAGGCTCCTGCTAATTTCGCTTTCCCTCGTCAGTTGGCCGGTCCCTTTTACGCTCGGTTAGGGAACGAGTGAGTTATGGCAATAGAGCCTCTAATTTATAGCTATAATTCACCAAGTGAGAATATTTAATCATAACCTGCTTCCCGATTTGCTTAACGTTATTCCATTTATCACCGTAGGTTAAATGGTTGTTGAACAAAGCTTTGCACGGGATGAGATATTTCCGTGTGAATTCACCATAAGTCATTGGATTGAATACCCTTGAATTCGGGAACAAATAAACCCCGGACGTCAAAAATCGTTTATAACGCTGATACAGCCCAGATCAAAGCCTTTGAAAAAAACTTAAAGGCACATGAAGCACTGCTGGAATGTTTGAGAGTTCCTCACAGAGGCTTGTAAGGAAGGTAAATAGGGAAGAAGGGCCCATGATAGTGAGTTCCAAAAAACAAAATAATCGTTAGAACAGAAGTGAAATGCAGTGAAAACCTTGCAAAAATCCCAACACTCCTTCAAAAGGTAGGCCATTACCCTCGAAAAAAAAATTTCCAACGCTGTCCGCTTTTAGACCGAAATTGAACAAAACATCCAACGTAACCAAAACTGCCAATTAACACACTCAGTTGTGCAAGGATCGCCGTTGCGACAACAGCAGCTAAGCTGAACCCATCTCTCCTACCGTAATTGCTTCTAACCGTCTTCATTTTCGACCAGGCTATTAAAGGCACAACCCAGGCAGAGGTCGTGTGAACGCTTCTCTTCGGTCTGTAGTATAGACCCCTAGAGGACAATCACAAATGTGGCGTTCCGTGCACGGAAACCAACCGACAAGAGCGCTTGGGCCTTGCAAAGTAAGCTGCCCAAGCTGCAGTTTTTTCTCTTATCAGGCTGTTGTCTGGCGCTCTCTCATCTGTAGCGCTCTCTCGCCTCATACTCTCCTCTCCGCGCTTAGTCTCTCATTCCCTTAGCACAGCCGATTAGGTGAGCCCTTAACCTGAGCGTTTTCGACGGATTCTTTTCCTTTTTTCTTACTGGCCCACTTCGCACCAATACATTCGCATTCGTGTACAAGAGCCACACCAATGTGATCCTGGGGCATGCCGTTCAAATCAACGCATAACTAATTGCTAATTCTGGGTGTGCTTCTTGTCAGTAAGGAATGGCTTCGTTCAATTTCTCTCATAAAAACATCCATTTCTATCTATTTGACAAATGTTTCGAAGATCGTATTCATATTTCACGTCATGTTTTTCTGTTCACTTTCTCTAATAGGGGCTTGAAAACCGCCCACCAACAATTTCGCAATCCGAACGAAGGCTCAGTAGGAAAAACAAGCAAAAATTCATGTCAGGAAAGGATATTTCATGGAAAAAGTTGGAAAAACCCTTTCCCGTTGCAAATCAAGTAACAAAAGGGTGAAGGAAGAACTACACATGGATTTAAGGCATGGAGCTCCACCGATCAGGGTCACTGTTAGTGCCGAGAAAGAGGCGAC